TGAGTTCTTCCCTCAGAATCTGTTGTTTGTCTTTGTTTTGAGACAAATAATAGACGACATGAGAGAGCGAAGCGCTGGTCGTGTCGTAACCGGCGATGAAAAACAGTATTCCCTGAGCCGTCAACTCGTCCTCAGATAACGTCTGATTTGACTGCTTTTTGGTTGAATTTTGTGCCAATTCTTGTATCTCTTCTTCGCTATTATAATCGGAATCAAAGTCTCTGTCATTCCTCTCGTTATCAATCATTAATTGTATGAAATCTGATCTCTTTTTTCCTATTAATTAACATTAAATTAATTATTACTTATGATAAAGTTAATTAATATAATTATTACTTATATTAATTACTTTATATCATTATAATTACTACTTTTAATTATTATAATTTATTCGTTTTAATTTACCCTCATTTGTGGCCAGTTTTGCTGCTCTCTTGCGTTCATTGACTATCTCTTTAGTTAATGAATCAAAGAATTTAATGGCATTTTTGTCAAACGGTTCCAGACGTAAGAGTCGGGCAATCGGTGGCAGCAGTACTGATACGGCATAACTAAGGCTCGAGTCCACAGACAATATTTTCTTGGCGTTGACAACAATGGGATGATTGGGATTATTAATGGACTCAACATTTATACCGTAAGCGCAGGCACTGATCACATCCATTGCGAAGGCACCCAAGTATTTGCGCATATCTACTGTTTCGCCTGAAAACGTAGTAAAAATAATAACAACAATTAAAATATATTCTAGTTTATAAAAAGTAAGTTTATTAGAATAAAATAATAAATAAATGTAAAACACATACCACTTTTTGCAAACACATCCAAATTGTTGACAAACTGGTCGGCGATTCCCTCAATGCTGGCCATCATTGCCTTCAGTTTGCCAGTAGTGAAGGCAGGGGTGACGACAGAGCGGACACGTTTCCAGTTATCATCGCCTCTCATGAAGAATAGGGCCGAAGAGAGACCGGTTTGGCCTAAATTCATGTCATATCTATTGGGGAAGTGCTGGAAGTCCTTCACCACAATGTCTTTGATTAGTTCCGGTTCGTTGACAATCA